ATGAAGTGGGCGGGCATCGGGAGGCCACTATGGCACGGGGCAAGCACTATGGGCAGTCTATCTGAAGTGTACCTGGTGTATAAGACGACCCCCCACTTGGAGGCATATTTTTCAGGGCCAAAAAATCGTCTTATACACCGGCAAATACGGTAAATGTATCGAAGCAACACATTGGACATCCTAAACAGTGTTATTTGTCGATAACAAATAACCTGGAAAGGATATTGAAAGGACCTGGAAACTTCTCACGTTTAAAAATGCCCATGATGAGAGCATGAAAGGTGGACCAACTTGTTTCAAAGCTGCTGAGAGCAGTGGATCTGGGAGATTGGAAAGCCTGGGCCATTCGAATCATTAGAATAGTTCATCTGCTGAGAATAAAAAGCCTGGCTTTCCCCAAGATACACATATGACATGTATTTGTTCGTGTGTTTATGATACATAAAATTTGCCTGAAGGCATCAGAGAGATAAGGTAGTGAGGGCTCAGTGAGTCAAGATCAGGGGAAAAAAGGAAAGGCAGGGAGGTGAGATCCATATTCAATATTGTTTTACTTTTAAAAATCAGTGGAAATTTCAGTGGGGTGGCTGATTTCAGTGGGGTGGCTGAAGGGCTGAGTGGCTGAGCAGCAGCATCCCCAGCATCACGGGGGTGAAGGGACAGAAATTGGGATTTGGTGGGGACCACAAGGGGGAGAATCCAGGCTTTAAACGTCTACACGCTAGGACTAGAGGTGAGCCAACCAGAGAGTGACTCTCTCAAACCTGAAGCCACTTTGCAAGAGCGCAGTAAGTTATCGGCTTAGGAGGCGCTTCCTCCCCGCATTGTTCCGGCATTAGCCTGTGGATAGCCATGTGGTGGCTGGAATGGCCCTTGTGGCTCTTGTGATGGATTTTACAACGCCCCGCAGCAATAACCACCAGGAAACTTCGGAAAAATACGGATTTATTACTTAGAGGACCTGGAAATTACACAGCGCACCTGGGCCACATAGTGAAGTCACGGCTAGAGAATTTAGCAGGCAAAACAGAGCTTAGAAAAACAGGCTCTGTACTATTCCCCCTTTCTTCTCTCTAACGTCAGATTTTGTATTTGTCCCAGGCCAGGCACATCTCCTTCCCCACCCCCTCTCTAACATTCTGAGCGGTCTACACACTGTCCCATGTGTTCCCCAGGGGGGATGATTAGAGTGTCTGTCTCCCAGGAGGATGACCGCTGAGAACATCTACCAGCAAAAGGAGCCGCTCCCCTTGATGGGTGGACAGCGCCACCTAGTGTTCCAAAGGGGACCGCCGAGCACTGAGCCCCGGATTCCTCATGTCTCTATTGCGCAATCAGTTCCCAGGGGTGCCAACACCATCTATACCTACTGGCTATGGTGGTGAAAGCTCCCACGGCTGCCAGTGCTTTTACTGGGCGGAGGGAGAAGCTGTTTATGGCGAGGACAGAGCAGCATGAGATGAAGCTGGGAAGGTGAGCTGAGGTGGTGAAATCAGGCCAACGTAGGACCCACATGGAACGGCTCATTCTTTCCCCACATCTCAAGCATTTGGGGTTTCTGTGACTTAGTCCACACGGTTTCCTTTTCCATAATGCGTGCCCTGTGCACTCTGCCTTGCCCATGCCGACTCCTCTTGGGAGATTCAGCTGGAGAGTCACCTTCTCCATGAAGCCCTCCCAGATCACCACTCCCTGCTCTTCTTCGATAGAATTGACTGTTTCTTTCTGCCCCTATCATGCCCTCTAACCTTTAACACTTGAATGTGGTCTCAATCTCTATAATAAAAACTCCTTGGTTGTGACGCCGTCACACCATAACGACCAAAGACTGGTCACCAGGAGGCCGCCTGCGCAGCGAGGCGCGTGGGGGTGCGCGGGGGCTGCATACTCCTGGAGAAGCGGGCGCGTGGGTGGGGCCCTGCAGGGTTTGACAGGGAACCTGAGGCTGTGCCCCCTGCCCTGTGGGGCTTGACGGGGGTGGGGCCGGCCAGGTCTGGGTCTCATGCGATTTTGAAGTGCATGCGTGTGGGTGGGGACTTGACTCTGGGTCCTGCGGTGGGGGGTCTGGGATCCCAGGTCTCTCACGATTTCCCACGGGTCTGGGTCTCGCGTGATTTCATGTGCTGGGTCACTAGTGTTTATATATTTGTCTTGCATGTAGACACTAGGTCTTGGAGTGTGACAGACCATGTTTCATTATCCTTTCTGTCCGCAATGTTTCCCCAAGGTTTAGCAGGGGATCTTTTTTTTTTTTTGGTATGATCCAATATCCTATATTTGTAATTTTTTATTGATATGTATGCATGCTGTGCAACACAGACCGTATTTTTTTCCTGCCTAATCATTTCTAGACAAGCGGTATTTATTACCCCCCTTCTCATTTTCTTAGATTTAAAAAACGAAACTGCCGCACCCACAGAGAATTGTGCCCGCTACCATAAAACAGTCCGGTGCTTCCTCTCACGGTGTGCTTTGCCTTTTCCATGGGGAAAACAGCACTATTTGGTAATATGTACACTTGCACCTTCTAAAAACTTATCTTAAATGAACTTTTCTAACAGGGGATCTTACAATGAATCTTCCTGGGTCCATGAACGCATGAAAGAATAAGCGAGCAAATGAAAAGTATGCACATTTCCTTTTGCAAAAAAATGAGATTAAAAGCCCCGAGGGCAGAAAAGCCAACGTCATGAGGGAAGAGGGAAGAAGTACTGCAACTGTGCGGCTGGAGAGAGCTGAAAGCGAGCGGGGAGTGACAGTGAACTGTAGGAGGGCGACTCATTTCACCCAGGGAAAGTTTTTTTTTGGAAAGAGCTGTTTGTGTACCACTAACATGAATGTAATAATGATCATTATCCTCATTATCTCAGCCGCACGCGATAGCCACGGAACGGCGTGTGCTGGGGCCAAAGGGCTGTGACTGAGATCACTCACACATCAGGGAGGGCGCTAACTCTGCACGTCATGAAAACGTAAGGTTTCTTGCTTGGGAACGTCTCATCGAATCAGCCCTCGGAGCTAGAAACCTTCAAGACACCTTTGATCCTCTCTTTCCCCTCACTCGCAACACCTCACTCATTATCAGGGTCAAGTGCTGTTACCCCAGAAATGTCGCTTAAACCCAGCGGCTCCTGTCCACCCACACAGCCAGCACGCTGGTCCATGCCTCATCGTCTCCCATTCAGATGATTGACAGCTCCCTTCGATTCTGGCCACAATGTCCCTTTCCAATCCAGCATCCATCTCAGATCGCCCTGCCGGAATGACCCTGCTGAAGCACAGATGTTACCGCGACACCCCCAGGTGAGGGACCTAGCTAAGGATCCGTCAGTTTTTGCTACTCTTTTCAAAAGACCAATTCTTAGTTTCATCGATTTTTTTCTGCTTTTCTATTTCATTGTTCTCTCCCCTTACCTTTTTTATTCCCTTCCTTCTGCTAGATTTTGGTATGATTTGTTCTTCTTTTGCTAGTGTCTAGGTATGAAGTGAGATTGTAAATTTGAGATTCTTTTTTTTTTTTTTAATTCAAGCATTCACAGTGTTAAACTCTCCTCTCAGCCCTGCTTTTGCTGCATCCCATCTCTTTAGAGGTTTAAGTTAGTTTCTAATTACTTACCTGCAAATGAATTTGCATTTGTTATTTCACTTGTTCCTCACAGCATATAAGGAGGTAGAGGAGTTAAGATCGGAGAGATTAAACGATGTAGCTCAAAGAGTTCAGCACACTTCCAATGACCACACACCTTCCATGAGGTGCATCCAAGATTCAAATCCAGTTCTGCTGCCTGCACACCCAGGGCTTTCCCCGCAGGCCTGCCCCCTCCTCGGCTCACCCTCCAGGAAGCTGAGCCTCCCAGAGCCTTCCCAGAGGTGCATTCCCCAGGGAGAACCTCAGTCCATATCTGTGGGAGGCGGGGCGGGGGGGGGGCATTCCGAGATCTCATTGCCTCCAGCCCAGCCCATTGCGGGAGCTTCCCCCTACACCCCCCTCTGCAGGTCCTCTTCCCAGTGCATCTCGTGTGGGGTTCACGTTCCTGACCCAAAGCATTCCTAGCAGCCCTCCTTTAAGCAACACTTCTTAATTAAGTCTTGGATATGCATTTCTTCATCTGTCTGAAATTCAAGGCACGGCCACTCACCTACACGCCAGTGGCATGAAGCGTGTCCAGGCCCATTCTCTGTCCCTTTTCTCGGCTGTGACTCTACAGCAGCTATTCTTCCTCCCCGGACAGCCCTTCCTCAGCCCGCTGCCTGTACAACTCCTGTCCGTCCTCCGTGACCCAGTTCACAGGTCAGCGTCAAGTCCTCCCTGATCCCAGCGTTTGCAAGAGATTTCTCCCCTCTTCCAAGTCCCCATCCCCCTCCAGCTTGTCCACTCAGGACACATCCATCGCATCACCCCGTGCCCACACGTGCCATGGGCGCCGTGGGAACAGGGATCATAATACAAAGTGGCTCCCGTGTCCTGGGTGCTCACCGGGAGCCCGGCACTGTACATATGGTGCATGTACAATGGCATGCATTTGCTCACACCATCCTCTTACCAGCCCAAGGCGGTAAGTTCTACTGGCAACATCTCACAGATGCGGACGGGGAGGCTTAGAAAGATGAAGAAACGTGGCCAAGGTGACACGAGGAGGCAGAGACAGCTACTGTCTGCCCAACTTCATGTTTCCACCCACATGATATAGCGGTTGCTTGGAAGCAGGGACCCAGCCTGTGACTGTTTCCCAGCATCCCTGGCATCCAAGTGGCACCACGAGAATCGCAGTGGGAGTGATGGGTGCTGCTTCTAGGCAAAGGCATGTAACGTGGGAGGTGATACGGCAGCTGGCATTACTGTAACTCACTCTAACAGCGAAGGAGGAGCGGAGCTCAAGTTCAGCCCCAGGAAAGGTGACTACAGCAGTGGCTCTCAACCTTCTGGCCCTTTAAATACAGTTCCTCATGTTGTGACCCAACCATACAATTATTTTCGTTGCTACTTCATAACTGTCATGTTGCTACTGTTATGCATCGTAATGTAAATATCTGATATGCAGGATGGTCTTAGGCGACCCCTGTGAAAGGGTCGTTTGGTCGCCAAAGGGGTCGCGACCCACAGGATGAGAACCGCTGCTGTAGAGGGTATCGCCTTGCTTGAGGGAATAATGGGAAGACAGGAACCTATGCTTCAAAGACCTCAGGCCTGCACTTTTAATCACTAAAAGCCAGCGTTGTCCCATAAGGTTGGCAAAGACCCACCTTTACAAGGATCCCGACGTACCTGTACCAGAGGCAGACATAACACCTCCCCCCAGAGTTTCAGAATGAAAATCTTCAGTGTCTGTGCTATGCCAGAAGCCCGCATCGTCAACCACCTCCCCAGGAGAAGCCGCTGTGTGCTCCCTGTGAGAAACCCTTCTTTAAGCCGGACTGCCGCTTTCCAAGTAGATAGAACGGCACTTTCCGCAAAGTGGATCCTAAAAAAAAAAAAAAAAAAAAAAAGCAATGCTTTGGGGTCCCCACTCTGAGGACCGTACTGTTCTAAGTATTCGGAAGGCGATGGTACAGCTTAAAGAAGAGCCCAGCCCTGGCCGGTTTGGCTTAGTGGATAGAGCGTCAGCCTGCGGACTGAAGGGTTCCAGGTTCGATTCCTGGTCAGGGCACATGTCTGGGTTGCGGGCTTGATCCCCAGTGAGGGGTGAGTAGGAGGCAGCCGATCAATGATTCTCATTATTGATGTTTCTATCCCTCTTGCCCTCTCCATCTCTGAAATCAATAAAATAATAATATTTAAGAAAAGAGAGAAGAGCCCATTGCCAACAGGACATCCATATGGAAAGGGAAGCCACCCTTTCATGTCTTCTGGGCCCCAAATCCATAGATGTGGCCCCAAACCCCATCACACAGCACCCCTTAGGGCTCCTCCTTTGGGTAGGAAGGTGCTCCGTCGTCAGAAATGGCCCCCTGCTGCTCTTGGTTCCCCTGGCTCCCTTTCCAGCTGCCAGGACGCAGCCCCACGCCTGCCCAGCTCACCGCCCAGTGTGCCCGCGGAGCAGCAGTCAAGGCCAGACTCGCCCACGGTCCCCAGGGGCAGCTTGTTCCCATCACATCTTTCACGAAGGACCTGGAACCCTGCCCCTCACACTGCCTGAGTCCTGAGAGGAGAGGAAAAATGTGGAGCTTACTTGCTAATGAAAGCCCACGGCGACCTTCATGTTTGCTGTACACGCTACAAGGGCTGGCCCCTGCGGGGATCGTCCACATGATGGTGAATCCCATTCAATCCTGGATCCCACTGCCTTGGGCCCCGGGGAGAGCAGCTGACCTCTGGTGATGGGAGGAGACGCAGATAGGCCGCCTTGGGGTCTGTGCAGTCACACTTGGCTCAGACAGCGTGGAATTCACTGAATTGGCTGCCGGCTCGGCCATTTTCTCAAAACGACCGTCTGTCTCTAGGGAGAGATATTGTGCTAATGTTGTTAGAAGCTCAGAGGTTAGGTTCTACAATGATATTTGTCTGCTATTTTGTCAACCGAGTTTTTGTTTTGTTCTAACGATTGTTTAAAAGATGGAAAAATCGAGGAAGAAAAACCCCCACAACAAATAAAAAAGACGAAGGAAAGAACGGGGCGGGGAGGTCAATGCGGGGTCCGCACAGAGAAAGCGCCGAGGGAATACAGAGACGGATAAAGGGCTGGGTACAGGGAAGGGAAAGAAAGGGGGGCCTGCCTCCACCTACCCCATGTAAGAGCATGGGCCTTCCTGATGCCCTCCCCGCCCACCCCGCCCACCCCTGCAAATTGTCAGTGACCCTGTCTTTTCTTTCTTCTGAGCCTGAAACCTGTATTGAGGGAAGATCTTAGAAAGTTTGAAATCACCTGCACCCTAACCGTAACCCTAAACCTAAGCATAACTCTAACCCTAACCCTAACCCTAACCCTAACCCTAACCCTAATCCTAATCCTAAACCTAACTCTAAACCTAACCCTAACCCTAACCCTAACCCTCAGCCTAACCCTTCGGGAGTCATGAGCTTGGAATGGCCGCAGGCGAAGATCTGACCGAGAGGAAGGACAGGCCCGAGTGTGAGAGCAAAGCCAGCCCCTGAAACCTAAGCCTAAGCCTAAGCCTAACCCTAAGCCTAACCCTAACCCTAACCCTAAGCCTAACCCTAACCCTAACCCTAACCCTAACCCTAAACCTAAGCCTAACCCTACCCTGGGCGCTGAGGCCCTGCATGGACCCGTGAGCCCGGTGCTGCTCAGCTGAGGGTGCAGCCACCGAAGAAGACTCAATCACTGGATCCTGTTCTGTTTACCGGTCCACGCTGGCTGCCTCTGCCCTCGCCCACCAGAGATTCAGCCTCGCGTGGGTGCTGGGCTCTGACCCGCCCCATGCTCTCTCACTCCCACGGGAAGGACCTTGAAACCCTGGAAGGTCAGGGAGGACTTCCCTGGGGATGCCAGGCTTCCACTCCCACCACACCTTCCTCACCACACACACCTGGAAGCGGAAGTTCAGGGCATCTTTCTATCACCGAGAAACATTAAAATTATAAGGTGCATCTATCTTCTCCTCAAGACGTGGCCCTTGTTAAAAAAAGAGGGAAGAACAAAAAGGAATTCATCGAAAGGGCTCTTTCCATAAGCAATTCTGGTTGCACATATTACGTTGTTTACATCTTCAGCAAAGTCAGTTACAGACACCCAGGGGAAATGGCTCTACCTTCTCTTCCTACACCTTCACTGGCGCTCCCTCTCCAGTCTTGATATTCTGCAAGGAGCTACCTGCCCAATGACGTTCAGGACATAGCTTTGCAGTCAAATGGTGCTTCTTTTGTGTATTTAAAAACGATAGTTATAGAAAAACAACAAGGGAGTTGGATGTGGTTCCACCTATTTATTTCTGCTTTTTGTTGCCTTAGGTTTTGGTGTTGAATCCAAAAACTCATTGCCAAGACCACTGTCAAGGAGCTTACTACCCCTTATACTTTCTTCTAGGAGTTTTACAGATTCAGGGCTTACTGTCAAGTCTTTAATCCCTTCTGAGTTGATGTTTGTGTGTGGTGTCAGATAGGGTCCAGGTTCAGCCTTTTGCATGTTGATATCCAGTTTCCCCAACACCATTTATTGAAGAGGCTATGCTTTCCCTATTAGATATTCTTGGTGCTTTTCACATAAATTCATTGACCGTATATGCATGCATCGGTTTATTTCTGGGTTCTTTAGTCTGTTCCATGGATCTATGTCTGTTTTTTATGCCAGAACCATACTGTTTTGATTACTGTAGCTTTGTAATATAGTTTGAAATCGTGAAGT